CTAAAAAAGAATGAACGGAGATAGTACTCTATATAATCCATTCCTACTTTTACACTCTAACGGTTACACTATAAGACAAACTAGTCTATCTACAATCATGTGTTGCCACTTGTATATCTACAAATGATTGATTCCTTTCTTTGTGTTAATTCCAACAATGTAATCTAGCTTGACATGGCAGTCCATTGCTATATGTTTAGTCCTTAGGTGAAATATTGGATTCTTTGCGATGTGAATCATCAATTTGTTGTCACGCTAGATTCAAATAGAATCATCATGTTGTACTATGTGAAAGTCTGGTAACATTTGTTTGATTCACTGAACTTAACAAGATATATAGTTGTAACAATGTACTGTACTATGCTTTAGAAGATGATTTTGAAATTGTGCTATGCTTTTCTTCCTTCTAGGTGATGAGTAAACTCTCTAGGAACGTGTAATAACCTCTTATTGGTCATATGGTGTCAAGATAGATACCCAAATCTGAATCATCGTACCTAGGTATGGTCATTTGGGCACTTGTTGGAAAGAATGAACCATGTCCTAGGCTTGCTTGATGTATCTTAGAATCCTTCAAGCTCTTGGAAAGAAATAACAAGTTCTTGGTTTTGATTGAAATGGGCTCAGTTGTTGGACACAGTATGCAATATCTAGTCTTATTGTAGTCGAGTAACTTCGTCATCCAACCGATCCTCTATTAATTCTAGCATCATCCATTGGTTCTCCATCAAGACCTGATAGTCTACTCTTCATGTCTATTTGTGTCTTTATAGGCTTGAAATTTACAAAGCCTGAATCAATAAGAAACAAGAATCAATATTTTTAGAGGTACTGACATACCATTCTCACACCTTGCCACTTCTAATCCTAGAAAGTACTTAAATCTTCCTAGGTCTCTAACCTTGAGCTCTGAACTTAAATATCCTTTCACTTCATTAATGAGGTCAAGATCACTTATAGAGATGATCAAATCATCAACATAAACCAGTACCACTGCCAATCCTCTATTAGTGTCTACCAGTATCTAAAATCAAGTCACAAAATAACCAAGTTCTAACACGTAATCAAACTCAGCTGACTTCCACCTAAGATTAAAGTTTCAGAAGACCTAATTCTACCAGACCATTGAAGTGTTAATAAAACCATACTGAAACGGACTTTCTTAACCTGTATCAAGTAAGTGAACCTACAATTTGATTCCAAAATTCGCAAGAACAAGGGTAAAATCAAAATTATCACCTCATAAATTAATGTATCAACAAATGTTTTTGCATCTCCTTTTACTACTCAGAACCCTAAGTTGTAGATGGAAGAAATGACATCAGGTGGATCTATCTGCCAACCCAGCGAGAAGTAGCAATGCACGAAAGAGAGAGACAAGGAGAACGAGCGTTGTCACGCTTGGAAATTAAGATCGTTGGGGTCGTTGTCGCCATCTCCATCCTGAAAGACATGACCGAGGTGATTGGCATCATCTTTGTCGGCAAAGTGAGTGCTGCAAGATGTCAAGATTTTGGTAGAACACTACCAAAGTCGGAGCTTGGTCACCGATTCCCTTGATCTGCAGGGGACCTAGTACTTGAGTGTTGATTTGGGAGAAGACTTCGGTTCTAGGAATTTTATAGAAGGGGTCTGGTTTGGGGGTGATGGAGTGGTCTGGAATTGGAAGCGCTTTGTTCGAAAGAGATGAGTGATTTGGGAGACCAGACTTCAAATAAAATGCTCTTATTTTGTTAAAAACGTCGTTCAACACACTTGGGGAAGGAGTTGACAAAAGAAACGTTCCAGTCGAAACTCCGTACCCAAAATCATGCGTTTTAGCGAAGAAACTTTTCTACTTATAAAATGAAAACGACTTTGTTTATTGTTTCACGATGAATGAGATCGTCGCTGTAACTCAAATACATTTTGTGATGAAAACTAATTCGTCGCAGATATCTTTTCGAGCTTACTACGACGAATTTGTCTGTCGTCAAATGCACTGATCTACCATTACACCGAAAGTGAGAGAACTGTGACACATAACGAAATCCATCGCCAAAAGCCATTTTTAGCGACGAAATTTATACCGTCACCAAAAGCCAACTTTTAGCGATGGAATTTATTCCGTCGCCCCTGTTTTCATCGCAAAAAGTCATGTTTCCTTCAAAGGTTCATCTGATTCCAAACCTACAGGCGGATCCGTATATATTTTCTCCTCAAGGTCGCCATGTAAAAAAGCTTTGTTGATATCCAACTAGTCTTGGTGCCATCCTTTTATTGCTGCAATGGCTAGTAGTATATTGTCACTGTTCATTTTCAGGAACTAGATACTATAACAACACTCCTTTTGTTGTTATTGTAACAACACTAGTCTCCAACCAATAGAAAGTTAGAGTTGTGATGACTTTTTATTAGTTTAGTTGACTTAGTGTAAAATCAAAGCAGGGGTATAATTGTCATTATGAAAAATATGTTTAAATAATAATAAATAAATAAATAAAATATTTTTTTTATTTTCGGACCAAAATTTTGGTCGCCGGAATTCGGCCACCGGTCGCCGGAATCTGTCGCCGGTCACCGGAATATACTTTTTTATCGCCGGAATATGCTATTTTGTCATCGGAATATGCAACCGTCGCCGGAATATGCTCACCGTGGTCGGAATATGCTTACCGGCGTCGGAATCTAGTCATCGGGACCGGAATATGCCTATCGGCGCCGGAATTTACTCACTGACGGTCATCGGAGTTTGGTCAACGTGTTTCGTTGACCGGTCAACGGTCTTTGTTGACCGGTCAACGGCCAACGACCACCGGATGTTATGGTCTGCATTGTGAGATTTATGGTTTGGTTTCTCACATTTTTGTATGCCTTTTGTGATTTGCTTTGGCGCGTTTGTGGTTTGCATTGAGAAGTTTCTGGTTTGCTTTATCGTGTTTGTGGTTTGCATTGAGAAGTTTCTGGTTTGCTTTCAAATATTTTGTGGTTTGCATTGAGGGGTTTGTGGTTTGTTTTAGGAGATTTGTGGTCTGCATTAGGACGTTTCTGGTTTGTTTTTGTGGTTTGCTTTATCGTGTTTGTGGTTTGCATTAAGAGGTTTCTGGTGTGTTTTTGAAAATTCTGTGGTTTGCTTTGTGAGGTTTCTGGTTTGTTTTAATATATTTTTGGTCTGCATTAGGACGTTTTTGGTTTGTTTTTGTGATTTGCTTTATCGTGTTTGTGGTTTGCTTACAGTGTTTGTGGTTTGCATTAGGAGGTTTCTGGTGTGCTTTCGCAAATGTTGTGGTTTGCTTTGTGAGGTTTGTGGTTTGTTTTAGGAGATTTGTGGTATGCATTAGGAGGTTTCTAGTTTGTTTTTGTGATTTGCTTTAACGTGTTTGTGGTTTGCATTATGAGGTTATTGATGTGTTTTTGAAAATTCTGTGGTTTGCTTTGTGAAGTCGGTGGTCTCAAACGAAAATGCGAAGTCATCCAAATTATCTTTATAAAGCAAAATTTATCTTTTTGGGTTGTATTGATGGGATATAAGGTTTTTATTATACTGATCTGTCTGTGAAGCAATCTCACCTTGTTTGTATTCATCTCCAATTCTAAATGTAAGATCAATTCAACTCATGCTTAGCCATCTACAAAGTTGTGGCAATGATGATGTTTTTCTTCTCTTAATTCCTGCCGATAAAAACAAATTCATAAGGATTATATACATATAAAGCTGGAACACAGACTTGTTATATATAACCAATTCTAATTGAGAACAAGTTGCTACAATTTTCCTCCCACTACAATTATAATTGGGGAAAAGTGCAATTGTTTGAGGACTGAGTATAAAACCAAGTTTCAATAAATAAAACTCAACAACAATCACAAATGCTCAATCAAACTACAAAAACCCAGTCATAAGAGCTTATGTGAGTAGTAGCAGTAATGGTAGCAGTAGACTAATCTTTCAAAATGTGGAAGAATGACAAGGAATTGAACTTTAACAACACGAAAATCCCATCTGTTGAGGTACAGAGTATCCCTTAAGAAAATGACACCAATTGCAACACGAATTACAATCACGATGGGTCTGAACATTGAAACAAATTTCGGTCAGTCATTCGTTTGAGAAGCCATCTATGGAGCTGCTGAGCGGGAAGAGGTCGGTGGACTCGGAGTTTGGGGAAGGGAACAACATAGTGGACTTGGTGAGGTCAAAGATAAAGGGGAAAGAAGGGTTGAACGACGTGCTGGGCAAGGACGTCGGCGGGTCGATCCCGTCGGTGAGAGAGGAGATGATGCAGATGCTCAGGATCGCGTTGCTGTGCACCAGCAGGAACCCGGCGGACCGGCCGTGGATGAGGGACGTGGTGTTGATGCTGCAGGAGGCCAAGTCGAAGAGGAAGTTGCCCGACGGTGGTGGAGTGGCAGGGAGTGTGGTAGGTAGTAGCGACGTCGGCGGCGGCGGCGGCGGTGATTGTGGAGGTGGGAAAGAGACGATGCTTGAGAACGCCGGCCAGATCTAAAATCTGGAGAAACAGGGAGAAGAAAACGCCGGCTAAAAGCGGTAAAGGGAGGTGGAATATTTTATTTTTATATTTATTTTTGTGTAACTTTACTCTTTTACCCTTAATGAATTATGATGTTACTATAACAACACTAGTGTTGTTATACTATCTGCACCCTCATTTTCACTACTGGAGAAATCTAAAAAATCTAAGTAATATACTTGGGTGAAACCCTTTGGAACCAACCGTGGAATAACATCCACTTTTTTGTCCAAGTTATAAATAATTTGTTAGTTAGATCTTGCTTTATTTAACTAGCCACTGTAAAAGTTAAAACGGCATATTTGATATCCAAACTTTCACTAACTAAAGCTAACGATGTAGACTGCCTTCGATTTTTATACCCACCAGACACATGTAATTTTCTCCTGCCCTTATATGCACCGTCAGAAATACGAGCCTCTTTTGAAGAAAGTGGTCTGCTTTTTCCTCCCGCACATTGAGCAAGTTGCTTGCTGAGTTTGACAAGTAATTCGACTTTAATCCATAGAAAATGGAATACACTGAAATAGCTAAATGCCATCACTGTTAGCTAGCTCAGTACAATATATGGTCTATGGAAAGGTGACAACCGATGGATGCTTCATTGGTTACAACTCAAAGAAATTGTAAACACTAGTTTATAAGTTTCATTCAGCCACGTACGATTTTACCCTTTACAGTTGGAGCAGGAAGAAACTCATATGGCAACTAGACCATCTACTTTTGATGAGTAGTGGGATGGCTGTCCTTTAGCCAATCCTAAACCCACAACTTGACGTTCTGTACCCTAAACAAAGAGGGCGCGACAATGTTAGAAATAACTTAATTCATACTACATACGATGCACATATCTTACATTTGATGATTATCTACCAACTGAGCTTTAATTCTTCTATTCATGATTTCTCGGGTTTGCCAGGCTCGATCTTGATTGTCAACGACTTCAATGATCGTGTCGAGTCATTAGTACACTTGTTGTTCTTCTTGTTGATGTTATTGTGGCATAGTCCGGGATCGTTGTCCGGGAAAAGCATACTAGAGTTGAACGCGGTGAACACCATTAACGTGAAGGAGACAAGGATGGACAAGGAAGACAACAAGAGCATCAGCCCATGAGCAACAGCTCCCTTCACTTCCCTAGCATAATCCACGGAGGCCAACGCCAAGACCGTCAGTGGGAAACTGTATGCCCACCATGCTATGTTGAATTTCCTCATGGATTTCTTGAACAAGCTTGGCCTTGAAACCTGTTTTGATTAAATAACAGACAAATAGTTAGGTCACACAAATAGTACTTAAAGGTATGTAGGGAGATAAATAGTTAAATAAAAAGCACCAGTATTTATTTTTTATGCTATTTATTTTATTTTATTTTTACCATATCTGGATACGACATACTTCAATTGCCTTTTGAAGTTATGATGATGAGTGTAGCGAATCATATAATAAAATTGGATTTTTTAATAATGATTGTGAAACCATTTCGGAAATTGTATTGAAAAATCAGCAGTAGATTAAGTTTTACTTAGTTGAATGGTGGTTCAATTTTTTTCAAACCATAAAAATTGTTTATTGATTTAGATTCCGATAGTAAATTTTTTTAGTCAGACCGTTTGTACGGTTTGATAAAAATGAAAAAAAATGAAAAAAAAAGAGTTTAATTACCAGCGACAAGAAGAGGAAAAGGGAGAGGAAGAAGAGCATCTTGGCAGAGGTATCAACCCTCCCGGAGATGGCGACCCAAGCCAGGCTGGCCATGCTAGGAGCAGCAAAGAACAAGAAGAACACCGGCCGGAGCATCGACGGCAGGCAGTTCCCGCCGGAGAGCCGCTGGTACAGCGTCACAAACAACACCAGGTAATGAGCCATCCCGAGCGAGAACAAGCAGACGGCCACCTCCCTCCACCCCATCTCGGCGGCGGCCCGCGCCCCGACGAGGTTCCCGATGACGGACATCTGGCTGGTCGGGTTGGCGACGGTGGAGAGGAACCGCTTCCCCTTGGTGAACCACTGGCCGTAGATCTTGACGTCGAGGGCCACCACGGGCCCCACGAAGATGCACCAGAGGGCTCGAAACTGCGTCGTTTCGGGGGTGGTGAAGGGGGAGGAGAGGAGGAGGAGGAGCCAGGAGATCCAGGGGGCGAAGAGGTAGTTGACGCCGACGTGGTGGAGGAACTCGGACTTCACCATGCGAAAGCGGAGGAGGCAGCGGAGGAGGTAGAGGGAGGAGAGGGCGGCGAGGGTGAGGAGGGAGAGGGACCAGAGGAGGGTGAAGGCGGCGGAGGGGACGCGGCGGAGCGGGTGGTCGACGGCGGCGGAGGTGGTTGGGGAGAGGATGAGGGTTTTCCAGAGGAGGGATTGGCTGGTGAGGGAGAGGGTTATGCGGAAGTAGCCGGCGTGGCATCTTGCTAGTACTAAGAGGAATGATGACGTGGATGATGATTTGAGATCGTTTATGGTTAGAGATGGAGGTTGAGATTGGGGAGATGGTGGTGTTTCGTCGTTGTTGATTGGTTTTGGGTCGTGGGTTTGCATGGGGATGGAGATGGGTAGTTGAGGATGAGCTTCCATTGTTGCTGTGTTGGTTTGGGAGTTTAGGGTTGTGATTATGCTTCTAAAGAGTAGAAATGGAGATGGGTTTATATAGAAGATAGAGGGAGAAGGAGTTCAATTCAATGTTGTTGAGTTAGGTGTGAGCCGCGCGTGAGACAACTCTTGCTATGGGGCTTTATTTTAGTTGTGTAAAGTGGTCCACTAAATCTGGAAGGATGGTGGTACTTTCCTATCATAATCGGACCGCTTGTTGATCATATCTTGCAAGTTTGAATAGATTTCGGACTCAAACATCACCTAATGAAAATATTGATGTTATTTCTCGGTATTTGCTAAATTGTATTGTATAAAAATCATCTATTGGAGTTCAAATTGAAATAGATATTTATTGCAATGAAATTGTTGAACCACATCAAATTAACAAAAATTAAAACATAAAATACCCTATGATTAACTTATCCGATATAACTTCTAGCATGAATTTACAATCTCTTTTATTTTTCTTTTTGTTATATCCACCGTAGCAATAAAAGGATGAGATTTCATCATACGTAGAGAATGATATAAAAACGTTTCAATATTATGTGTCATTCTGAGTTATGAAGACAAATAAGTTTTTTTTATTGCGCATTCTGTCCCTCTCAACTTTCAAATGTAAGTAAATTTACTTGAAAAATTTGTAACAAAATTGAAAAATAAACTAGATATTAAGGTTCTAGCCTCTCCTTTCCAATAAAGCAATGACCATGATTCAAATCTCTCAAATATAATTTTTTTAATCCTACATTCAGATTTCTAAATTCGTCACGAATTCTGAGTTTCATTAAAGAAGGTAAAGTGTTATGATCATAAAGAGTAGTGTTGTTGACCAAAGATTTGTTATCTGGGGGCCGGGGAAGAATGGGATTAGAGAGGAGATAGTAGCTTTTTGACATCAATGAATGAGCCGGCGGGAGGAAAGTGGTCAAGACGGCTGGTCTATCTGTAATATTCATCGATAGCGTTCGACTCGTAAAAATGAATGGATGGTCGCTGGCTGGCTGGCTGGCCCTTTTGGACTTGGATCAAAGACCACCGTCGAATGATTGAATGAGTTTGTTGTCCTTGTCTAGTCGTCTTTGTTTACAGCTAGACCCCATCCATCCATGCAATGCAAATGCCTATTTATGGGACCCTCTTTTGCCTCCCTTGCCGGTCGTACGTCCACTGATTGGCATGCATTGCATGTCCTTTACGCAGACACATGTTTTGTTTTGTTATTTTTAGTAGAGTCATACATACATATCGACCGCTGAAAAATATGGACCTAGCTATCTCCCTACATTAAACACATAAATGATTGTGACAACACTATCATTAGTATTATTATTTTACAACCTAAGTAGGTAGTTAGGGTTAACTCTAATTATATCAGGGAAAAAATGGTTGTCACACATTCTAATAGGGTTATTGATTAATCAAATATTTTAACTCATTATATTAACAATGAATATTAGAAACGTTTACAAAAAAGACATTGAAGCACATATTCCCGTCATCTGATCAATGAGGTGGGATTTTTTTTGGCAATGTCTATTTTTTATCCAAACCTTTTTCAGATTTTTTTATATTATCCAAACTTATCGAAACGCTAAGAATTAGCCAAATGTTAACTTTCAGTTAGCAATTTTATTAGTGATATTGACTTAGCAACATGATAATGACTTGGAAGAGACTCATGAAGGTCAACATTCCTAAATTTTAGTATTTTAACTAAGAAAAGAGTTACAAAATTATTAACGATAACGTTAAAAGGCTAATATTTTGATACATTATGAAAGATTTGGATAACTAATAGAATCTGAAAAAGTTTGGATAAAAAATAGACATTACTTTTTTTTTTATAACGTCAAGAGTTTCATTACAACGATCTAAAATGTGGGGAGAGCAATCCAACAATTGTAGCACGCATTAATTATATATGGCCTAGATCAATGTAATGACTTGATTAGTCATTTAAAAATAAACAATTAGGGCCTTAATAATTTTCTCTAGAATATTCTTCCGCAGATGTTACTTTGCGATACTTTAGTATATGGCAGCAATCAAACTGCTTTGTAACGAAAAAGGGTCTGATCAGTTCAACTATAAGAAGCATAAGATGAACGAACAAACAGGGGCACTTCGTCTGGTAGCCATTTTTGGGTTAGTGAAGCTACATATTTAATCCTTTCTCAATTTTGGTTATACGCACTAATAATCAACAAAGAGAGGCCTGCCCGTGATCGCCGAAATCCGGTTTTAGTCTTTTCAATCAACTTTCTGGTAAATATAGGTGAGGAAAATATCAGCACCTTTTTTTCCCATCCATGCGCGTATGGTACTCCAATTATATTAAATTGAACTCCCAAGGACTTTTCCAGTTCATAGATAAGTTAGTTGATATAGTCGGTATTGCACTAACTTGAGATAACGATGTTTCTTCCGGATGCCTCCCACATCCTGTTGTTTGGATGAGTGAAAATCAACGTGGATTGATACAGCTTATAAGCAATTAATGTTTCTTCCTAAATTTTTGTGAAATTGGTGATTTGGTACTGGAATTTTAAAATCTTACTCTTAGGTCCCTGAATGACAATGTTGTTGGAAATTTGGTCGAACCATAATAAACGGGTCGAATCGGTTTGGGGTTAGACCAAGTTGGTTAAATTATTGGACAGGTTAATTAAAATAATTAGCCTACGTTTGGAGATATAATTTGGTAATTTAAACGGTTGCATGAATAATAGCTCTTTTGGATTGGATTGGACTTATTAAACTACTAATCCCTATCCATTCATGCAACGTTTAAATTGAGTTTAAATTGAAATTAATTATATCCATTCCATGTGATGCAACTTTTCATGGAAGAACACGTCCCCTGCTAATGGCATGTAATTTGCGCTTTGCTTGCAAATGATGCTACTTTTCATGGACTTTGAAAAGTAACCGCCACAAAATTGGAGGGACACAACCCTTCAATGCATCTCTCGGTACTCTATAAATTAGAGGGATCCGGCTAGTGGTGGTGGACAAAAAAATGAGACACACCAAAATCTATTCTTCTTCCTACTAAACTTCTAAGTATGCTTTAGGTACTTAAGTCTGGAACCTAAAGTGGTGATAGTTTTATCCTCGGGAGAAATTTCCTGTAACCCTTGGCTTGTTGAGGGTGGAAATATTCTTTTCGGAAAGTGAACATTGTTCACGACTCTATCACAATCCTGGTCACCCGGTCTCGGGCTATCTTACGTGTACCCTCGTCCCTAAAATGTCCCAACAATCGTAAAGAATATTTTCCGGTACGATGGCTCGAGCCGCTCTTTACAAGAAACCGGTTCCGGTCTATGGAATTATGAGAATTTTCGATGATGGGTATTTCATCGATGGCAGTAGAAGATGGGTTTTCTTCGTACTAGTCTCATGGTGTATTCCATATCCGGAAGGTAACTTGGAAGAGGGATGATTAGAAGATGAGGAAGAAGGAGAATGATTCGTAAAATGGAGAAATAAAAGAATGAAAATTGCCTTTGGGTAGGTCACATACTCAATGGTTAATTTGTCTAATTCTCTATTCGACGTTTACGAAGTGCTAGAAAAATATGGATTTGTCTAGTGGTTTGATGGTGTGGTTTTGTCTAAGTGGTTTATTTTTAACCAAGGAGACAAAATTGTATATACAATGTTTGATGATTCTGGTAATAGAGTCGTTGTGTTTGTATGTAGATGACATATTAATCTTTGTGACCAATCAAAGATAAGTGATTTTGTCAAGTGGTTTATGTTATTTTAAACCAAGGAGACAAAATGTGTACACAATTTATGATGATTCTGGTAATGAAGTCATCGTACATTTGTATGTATAAGACATGCTTATCTTTGGAACCAATAAAAGATAAGTGAACTTTAATAATAAGTTGTTATTTCAATTCTCCATGTAGGATATGGGGGAGGCAAATGTGATTCTGTGTATTGTATCAAGCGGAACGACAAGAAAGAGTCATTCTCTCAATTTTTCTGCACGAGAAGGTACTTGCATAAATTCCATAGTAGGAATTGTAGTGAGTTCAAGACCCCAATGGATCCAAGTATGGAACTTATGGTTAATACTGAAAATCAGTTTTACAACTGGAGTATTCCATGTCAAATTGGGGGCTCGATATATGCATGATTTACATGATGCTAGATATCGCTTATGCGATAGAACAATTAAGTAGGTATGTGATGAATACTAGTTCTCATCATTTGAAATGAAATGAGGCGTGTACTAGGATATGTCAAAGGCACACTGTATTGACTTATAGTGGCTTTCCATCAATTTTGGAAAGGATTTGTTGATGTTAGTTGGATTTCTCATGTTAAAGGTGATACTTCAATATTGAGATGGGTCCTCTTGCTTGGGAGAGGTGACATAATTTGGGCCTCTAGAAAGCAAACTTGCATCACTAAGTTTCACTATGGAGTCAAAGTTTGTGTGGTCTTGGTTTCTCTTAGAGAAGAGACATAATTGTTGAGAGGTTTGGTTTATGACATATATTTATGGCCTAAACCAATCTCACCTATTACTATCTTTTGTGATAGTAATGCTAATTTGGCTAAGGCATATAGTCAAGAGAAAATGAAAAGTACGGTCATGTGGGAGTAAGGCACGGTAAAAGCTGTGAACTGATCATTCATAGTGTTGTGTCTAGACAGTATGACCAAACTCGAAATAATTTGGTTGATAATTTGACGAAGTGGTTAACTAGTGACTTGGTGATCAAGTCTGTGAAAGGGATGGGTTAAAGTCCATATAATTTTTGGTAATTGGACACCCAATTCCCCTCTAATACAACGTTAGAGGCTGAATTCAATGTGGAAAGCTTATTATCAGAAATTGAAGCACACAATTTGTCATCCCGAGGTATGTGCTTGTTACCCTGCACGAGAGAGGAGGATGAAGTATAAAACTTCTTAATAGAATCTTTGAAAAAGTGTATTATGCGGGTACACGAATAAGAGATTCAACCTATGTAAGCATGAAGTGCAGCCGCTTCA